TTGGGCAGCGGTGCACGCCGCGCCGTCCAGCCCCAGCGCGGCAGGGAAGGACCCCGAGCTGCTCCCCGCAAGGCAGCAGTTGCGTTTTCACCAGCCCCCAAAAATCCCCCCTTCCCACAGCGCAGCTGGCACCGGGCACGGAGTACCCAGCTTGGGGTCTGGGCACTGCTGGGGAGCCCGGAGCCAGCTCAGCCCCGTGCCTCAGTTTCCCCATCTGCAATGACGGCATTGCCGGGGGAGGAAATAAGTCACGCTGCCCCGCGTTTTGCAGCGAGAAAGCTCCGTACGCTATAGGGCGCGATGTAAACACGAAGAGGGGGGGTGAGGCTACAGGGCCCGGCGTGACGCAGAGGGAAGAGGGGCTTTCCAGCCCGGGCCGCGCGTTTCCCCTTTCTCCCTCCAGCCCCACAGCAGGTCCCCGTGGCTACGCCGGCACCGCCATGGAGTTCTCCGAGCTGATCAAGACGGCGACGGTGGAGAACGTGCTGCTGTCGTGTGCGGGGCTGCCCGCGGTGAAGGGCACCCTGTGCATCACCAGCCACCACCTGCTCCTCTCCTCCTGCCCCGGGGGGGACGCCCAGCCCGGCACCGTGGAGCTCTGGCTGCTCATCCGCAACGTGGACGCCGTGGAGAAGAGGTGGGTGTCTCCCCGCGGCCGGCCCCGAGCTCGCTTCTAGCGGCGTCACCCCTGCCTTAGCTGGAGGAGATTCCCTGCTGCTCTCCCGGCACCCCACGGCACTGCCTGCTGAGCCTCGTCCCTCCTCTTCCTCATGTCCCGTGCCGGGGATGTTTGCGGTGGCCGGGCATTGACCTCCTCTTCTCCTCTCTGCCTCAGAGTGCAGAATTTAGGCTGGTACCAGCCCTCCCGGACTAACGGCTCCCCACGAGACACCAGGTTTGGCTTTTAACGCTCTCTCGGCTCTGCTAACCCACCTGGCAGCGCCCGGCTTTGTGCCAACCGCCGCGGCACCCCAGGCAGGGCAGGGCGATGGTGGAAATCCTGGCTTCGGACAGGCATGCCACCGGTGCCCACGTGGCCAGGGGACGAGGACGGAGTTTGTAGAGCCCTGGGGACACGCTGGGACCATTCCCAGCCATCTCCCCGCTCCCGGCCCGTGACCAGCTCCACCTTCGCTCCCATTCCAGGCCCTCTCCTCGGTGGACTCTGTGATGATGATGTACCCGTTCTTCTACAGACCCCAGAGCCTGAAGCTCGAGGAAGGATGGCACCTTTTCCCCCTCGAGCAGTACTTCCAACAGATCGCCTCGCAGGTGAGAGACCCGGCCGGGCTGGGAAGCGACTCCCCCCAGCCATGCCGGGCTGCCCACTGGGGCTCACGCCGCAGGGGTGTCAGGGAGACACCCGGGGCAGGCCCCACCCCACGT